TGTATCATTCCTATCAGTATCATTTACTTACATTATGCCAACTTAAAAAACTTGCCAGTTTAGGATATATTTAACATGCTCACTGGAACTGCTCAAATATAAAGTTGTTGTAGAAAATTTTAATGACATTTAGTCTTCAACTGTTTATCAACTTGATGCTAGTAAGCAATTGCCCAACCATTGAAGTTGCTGCATTTGACAAATCTGCAAAAATGTTTTCAGAATTTTTATATTAGTAGATAACTCAAGCAGTAATGCTTGAAATAATCCATTGATGAAGCAAATATTTTTGAGGCATATTCGTTTTATCAAAACTAACTTATTTTCCATATATCATATATGCCATCTGCCTATGGTATCTTTAGTTGGTCACTATCATTAACAGTGCTATTTGTATACACATTTTTCAAATTATTTTGTATGAACTTTTGCCAACATTATTCATTGTATAATTGAGAGGTTTCTTTTGAATTCAGTTTAATTTACATATGTGGAAGATAACTGTTGAAAACATTTTTATTAAAATTTAAAGGAGGTGTAGTTAATTTTTTACGATGCATTGTTGGACATAGTTTTAGAGACAGAATGGCACTTATTTCTTCTTTCAAATAGATTGAGTCCCTCCATACAACTTGTTTGTAATGAGTAATTATAAATTTCAGGAGTAATCTATAAATTTCGTGGTTATTTTTAGCTCCTTTTGCCATTTGAATAGGAATAGACATGGACAAATTTAGTTCCTTTAATCTAGCTTTTTATATTTTTATAACTGCTCTAAAATACCAGCTTAATCATAGATGTTAGAAATACCAGACATTAAAAACAGATTTTTGATTGTTAAAAACAGCAGGAATCTTAGCTGAACTGAATTAGTAAGCAGTTTACATATTTGTCCATGGAATTAATCTCTCCTTTCCTTATCTTCTCATTGCATTTTGATGATTTTATTATAGGCCTACTCAAAGTGTATAGTGTGTTGGACATATTTGTTCTTGTTTGCATTTTTTTTCCCACTGGAGAGTTGGATCTGGTTGTTATTCATCTTTTTATTTTATAGAAAGAGCCTAGCACATAATAGGTGTAAATGCTGCTTGTTTGTTTATTTAATTTTTGGAGTGTTCTGAATGAAACACCAGTCCTCTTGCATGCTAGGCAAGTACTCTTCTACTGAGCTACATTTCCAGCCTTTGATAGATATAAATATTGAATTCAACAGATCTTTACTAAGAAACATTGTGTGCAAAACTTGACAAGTCACCCTGTTTGTTAGTCTTTAGCCATTAAAAACTACTACTCCTCAGATTTTTATATTACTTCAGTGAATAAGTTTTTACATAAAAAGATCTTTTACACTTGTTAATTTTGCTTATGGAGAATTGTTTTATATACTATGAGGATAGTTTACCATCTGTTTCTATTAATCGGTCTTCCCAATCTCCCTAATTAGTTGTTTTATGCTATATATTATATATGAGATAATCTCTCTCTCTTAGCTTTTGATGGTTTTGAAACATAGGAAATGTACAATATATTCTGTGATTTTTCTATAAGTTACGTTTATGGCATAATTTGAACTCTAGTGTCATGAGTTATAAAGTGTGTGGGTAATTAGTAAAATGGTACATCCTTCTTGGTTGTCTTTTTTAAAACTCTTGTTTTCTGGCATTTTCTGGGTAGCCTGCAATTTTCTTCTCAAAGAACACAGTCTTTTAGATTTTATTTTCACTGAAGGAAAGCAGAATGATGTTTCCTGAATGCTTATTGTGCTCCAGTATTGGGATGAGCACTATATAATTATGAAATCATTATTTGTTTAATAACCCTCTTTCACAGTTAATTTTACTCTCATTTACAGAAGAGAAAACTTAAACACAAGTGAATATGTGCTTTTCCTATTGGGCCTCTATTTTATTTTTGCCATAACATAGAACACAGGAAATAGTCTTACAGATCAAGCATTCGTGGAAAAATAAAGTGAGGCTTTAATTTCTGTCAGTGTGGGCAGTTATTTATCTTTCAATATTCTTACTATTGTTTAAACACCTCAAAATTTGCAAGTGAATATTATAAAACACTCTTAAATATATAACTAAATTTGTAAAAAGGTACCATGATTTTATAAGTGCCATAAAATGAAGAAGTACCTCAAAAGAGTGGTTTCTTTCTTCTGAAGACTCTGGTGTCCCAGTCATTGGCTACCCTGTGATGTTGGGGCTTGGATTTAAACAGCTGTGTGGGAGGGGGCAAGGCTTTGGTCTGTTGCAGATGAGGAGATCCCTTAACACTCCATCAAATTTTAGACATTCCTGCACCCATTTCTGTGCCCCAGGATAAAAAGTAAAGTTTTAGAAGAAGTGGATCAGGAAGGGACGGAGGGAGGGAAAAAAGGAAGTACTGGGGAGTGAAATGGAGCAGACTATTTTGTGCATATATGAATGTCACCATGAACCCCACTATTCTGTTTTATTATTGGACACTAATAAAAAGTAAATAAATAAAATAAGAAGAGAGTCCATTAAAAAGTGAATTTGAGCCAGGCATGGTGTTGCACTCCTGTAATCCCAGTGGTTTGGGAGGCTGAAGCAGGAGGATCCCAAGTTCAAAGCCAGCTTCAGCAACTTATTGAGGCCTTAAGCAACTAAGAAAGATCCTGTCTCAAAATGAAAAATAGAAAGGACTGGGGAGGTGGGTCAGTGATTAAATGCTCCTGGGTTTGGCTCAATACTTAGTACAAAAAAAAAATAAAAAAGGAAAAGAAAAATTTTGATCTGAAACCACTAGCAAAAGAGTGCATGTGTATCTATCTATCTATTTTAATACCAGGGATTGAACCCAGGGGCACTCCAGCACTAAGTCACATCCCTGGCCCTTTTTAAATATTTTATTTAGAGACAGGGTCTCTCAAAGTTGCTTAGGGCCTTGCTAAGTTGCTTTGAACTTGTGATCCTCCTGCTTCAGCCACCTGAGTCACTGAGGTTACAGGTGTGCACCACTATTGCAAAAGACTATTTTTTAAAAAGACAATAAATGAGGAAATCGAAAACATCAACAGCAGATTACCTGAAAAATCCTTGAGATTAAAAGAGAACCAAACAAAACTTTTAAAAGGATTAATAAGCATATACATTTGAATGTTTTAAACAGGTGATTAAATATAATGAAGAAAGACTTTATAACCTGAAAGATTTGAGAAGATACCCACACATGCAGAAAGATGAGAAGAAAGGAATGAACCGTTTAAGAAACATGACGGGTACAGTGAGACTGTGTAAAAGAGCATCTCATTGGAGCACCTGGAGGTAGATGGGAACAGAGACCCAAAGATGAGAACTCATCAAGTTAAAATGTCTAGAATTCTCCAGAATACAAGAAGGAAATAGATCCTCAGATTTAGGAAACACAGTTAATTCCAAGTAAGAGGTATGATGAAATCAGCACACCAAAGACAAAGGGAAGATCCTAAATGTAGCCCCGGAGAGAAGACAGATTAGGTGCAGGAGTACAATTAGAACCATCAAAGCCTGTTGATCCAATGGAAATTAGACGCCCACACTTTAATACACTCAAAGTTACTACTAATTCACAGTATTGGATTTAGCTAGTCTCTTATTCAAGAGCAAGTTCCAAATAACTAACTTTGCAGCCAAATAAAAAGGTATTTATTTCCAAGAGAGCTGCCCTACACCTGCTTTAACATCATATGGGGTATAACGATCTATGGTTGCAGGAGATAGTTGGTTTCCTGATGAAATATGGGGGTAATTGAAATATGGGGGTAATTTCACCTTTTTTTTTTTTTTTTAATCTCCTAAGACACCTCACCCTGGTGGGTAGGTCAATTTTGGGGAAAATCTCCACTGTGGAAACTGAATTTTTATTTATTTCAATGGTACTCTACTACCACCTACAACCTTGTATTTTCTAAAACAGATCATGTGCCACTGGCCTTTTTTAGATACTGTACTCATCAGGATTATTGTGTTTTAGACACACCAGGAATACACAAATGTATAAGAGAACACACCCATTTGTTTGCTCCTGTCCCAGTTTCAGTTACCTGTGTCATTAATTTTAATTTCAAAGGAAGGTAGTTTCTCACATTGTAGTTGGTTCTTGGAGTGGACTTGAGCCAGCTGGCCATCTATTTTTCTGTACTGACTGGCAGCAGATGCTCAATGTGCAGACCCCATCACATCATCTTATGACTTTAGCCAAGTGTGTGTGTGTTTGATGCTTCAGAGTGGCAACCGGAGCTGATGGTAAGATAGGGGATGTTTCTGTGAAAAATAGAAATGAGAGAGGAAGCACCAGCAGTGAAGTCAGCATTCCATGCCCCGGGAGAACTCCGAGGAGGGAGTGATCAGCCCCAGCAAATGCCAGGGAAGCTGCAGGAAAGGGATAGAAGCCCCAGGTGGAAAGGGAGTCCCCCAGCAGTTCCCAGGTCTCACTGGGTTTTGTGTGTTGTTCAACACAGCTTCTACGTTATTTTTTTATTTATATTTTAAAATAAACTTGTTATGTTGATGATTTATTTTTGAAAGGAAACTTTAAAGTCACAATAAAAAACGGAATCCCATAATACTGGCCATAAAGAGAGAGTACTTGTAAAAATCTATAAAGGGGGAAATATAATAACTGTGTCCTATCGCCTGCCATTGAGCCCGAGGCCTACCTCCTGTTACCAAGGAGGAAAAACGAGTTTCAAGAAATATTGGAGGCACTCTGGCCCCATATACCAGCTCCTCCTGCACCGAATCAGAGAGCGTGAAAAAGATGTGAAAAGGAATTCAACGTGGTCCATGGGTGATCCTGTCTTGCTTGTCTACTGCGGGGTAGGATCACTTTTGGCACCAACGGTATCACTAGCTTGTATGAAATGGTCCAACGGGGTTAGAGTGACTATGTGTGCTTCCCAGTATCTGCTTTTTAATGTTTGTCATTTGAAGGACATTGCTCTGTGCTTCCTGTATTGAAATGATTTGTGTTCTTTTTATTTGAAGCTCTTTTAAGAGCCTGTGCTGATGGAGGTGCCAACCGCTTATATGATACCACCGGAGGAGAGAGAGAAAGGTATGCTTTCATTTAGCCAGTGTCCATGGCACCACTAATTTCCGCTCCTCTTTGTTTTATTATCTTCTTAGCAAATGGACACTATTAATTTTCTTTGTGGACCCTAACAGAAAATCACCTTAATGAGAGTGAGTGAGCAGCTTAACCAAGTTGTATTATTTCTTATTTCAATGGAAGCTGTTAGTAGAATTACATCCGTCTATTCTTATTTTAAAAACCCTCATTCTACTACTTCAAAGCCTCATTAAGTAGCATTATCAAATATCGATATTTGTGAGGACATTGAACATTGGCTAAAATAAAACTTCAAATGGCAATTTCAGTTGTTATTTGAACACTTTAAATGAATAAAAATTGATCTCATAAAAGAAATATATTCTCTGTTGTAGAAGATGTGAGATTTTATTTTAGTGTGAAGTAAAGCCCAATATAATTTACTCTAACTTAATTACTTCGAAGTTAAGCATGGATATATATTTTAGGAGATAGTTTATTTCTTAATGATTTGCTATCTGCACTGTCTGGTTTCCTGATCTTTGCATGGGTGAGTTATTTTTAGATGAGAGAATGTTTGATGGAAGCAGGATTTAAATCTAGTTCATTGCTAACATGTTTGTAGTTCAACTCATTGGCAAACACAAGGATTTATAGTGTAGATATAAGTAGACTAGTTATGAATGTTGTTCCATCTCTATCATATGTTATATCAAAATGTTTATAGTTTGAGAAGTCACCTATTTGCTGCAAAAAAACAAAAAATATGATGCAACATACTCTAGGTAAGCATTAAATATATGTATTTTGAAATGATGTATTTTTCTTTATGGTATCAGAATGTTTAACATCGGGTCCCTAATGTTGGAGCTGCATTTTGAAAGCAGCCAGTTGCTTACTAGGAAAAAGGCATGTTTGCTTTGAGATTAGACATGCTAATATGGATGTCTGGGGACTGGATGCATTATTAAAATATATGAAATAGTGACTGCCTTGGAGACAATTTAAATTCCTAATGGTCTTTTCTCCTTTATTTTATAACTTCAAGTGCATCTAGCAGTATTCTCCAAGACCCATCAAGGACAATGTAGGAAAACACTCTAGTGTGTGTTGTGGAGTGCTGGGGCCAGTTAGTGGGGATTGCTTGTCCCATGCCTGTAGCCTGCTTGCTGCAAACAGTCCTGTGTGGAGTGTTTCTCTAAGGGTCAGCATAGTTCAGGAGCATAATCACAAACAGAACCGCAGAAGGATCTTAATGGAGTACTTCCCACCTGTCTCTTGACCCATAAAAACCATCTAGTGTGCTTGTGAAAAACTATAGATTTCCACATTGATTATTTTTATTGTATCGGGCCCAATACTAATAGGAAAGATAACATGAACACTTTCATTCACAATTGAATGTAAAACAATACTGGATTTAGGGAGTGGATACCATTATTAATTTCAAAGCAACCACACCTATTGTTTTTCAGCACATTTTTTAAGTAAATTTACAGAACTCTTCCAAGAAGACTTAAGTGATTTATCTAACAACTGTTTGTCCACATATGATGTTCAATAAAACAGTGTACTTTTCATTGATTTTTCTCATTGTAATGAGGTGTTTTCTATGGCTCACACTCTACACTGTGGGACATGGCTGGCTTGGGTAGGGGTAGAGACTCAAATAGGGAAATGAATGAAAATAACTGCCTCATGTGGGAATTAAATCCTTGGAATAAATCTCATTAAATCCAAGTCCTAACGGTTAAACTAATTGGATACAGGTGACTAAACATAATTCCTCTTAATTGTATTTTTAACAGAAGGGCTTCACAGTGAAAGGAAAAAATATGCAGATTTAAAGAGCCAACACATAGTTTGTGGACCACCCCTTGTATTCTCTTATGTGTTTATTATTTTAACATCCATATCTGCAATATAAAGTCCTGTAATTATGCAACAAAACATGCATTTTTAAAGAGTCATCTCAATTGGAGACAAAATGAAACATTTATACATTTGGAGTGGAAGGAAGGAAGGAAGGAAGGAAGGAAGGAAGGAAGGAAGGAAGGAAGGCAGGCTGATGTAGGCCAGACAAGAGAAATAGGCTTACGTGGGGATAGAGCTGATGGAAACAGCAATGGTAGGACCTTCTCCCCCTCTCTCAGGCCCAGGAGGGACAAGGCCTTTTACACCAGACCTCTTATCACTTTGCTTCAGATGCCACTGGATATTCAGGGCTAGATCTGGTCCTCAGAGGAGAGATAACATGGAGCACTTTCATTCACAGTGGAAAGTTAAACAGTGACAGATTCAGGGAATGAGTACCATTATTTCTGCCCTTACATTTTTTTTCTTTTTTTTTTTGCCCTGAGAGGGCCTGAACAGGATATAGGCCCTCAGTGTTCTCAGCCTGGGAAGGTAAATTTTCTTCTTGGCATTACATGTCAGATGGGTTTTAGACTGCTGCAGATATTATTCTGTCCAGTGTTGAGTTATCTTGCCCTTGGCTAATTGGAACTTCTTAAGTTAGTGCCTATGTCCCTTTTGAAAAGTATATAATAAAAATTATATATAGTGTATCATTATGATATATGATAAACAGTGTAATTTTGAGGTATGAGTATCATACAACAGATCTGTAGATCATGGGTGTTAAATTACATGGGTCTTGTTTGAGACTTAGTTACAATCTGTCATCATCCACCCTCTCAACATGTTGCCCTAGTCCGGAAGACCTAGGGGTCATTGCAAGACAGGTTCTTACCCCTAGGCAACAACTTCCCGGTTTGTATCACTATAAATTTATTTTCTCTGTTACTGGATCTCATACAAAAGAAATCATATAGTATATACAACTTGTGTCTTGTTTTTTTCTTGAGCCCATTTTTGAGATTGTTTCATGCATTGGTAGTGTCTCTGTTGGTCAGTAGATTGACTATGTAAATGTACCGCAAAGTAGGTATGCACTGATGGGAATCAGCTGCCCTTTGGCTTGTCTCCAGTTTTTTGACTATTATAAACAACGGCATGTTAGCCATTCTGTGAACATGTTTTAATTTATCTTTGGCAGGTAGTGAGGAATGGAGTTTCTAGGTTGTAGGGTTCATATATGTTTTAACTTTCTAAAAATTGGCACATTGGTTTTTTAACGTGGTGGTACCATTTTTCATTCCTGTTAGCACTGTTGCATTGCTCCATAGGCTCACCCATATTTATTCTTTTTCATCTTTTTGGTTTTAGCCATCTAGTGTTTATGAATGGAATTCCGTGATTTTAATTTGCTTCTCTCTAATGATTAAAGAGATTGAGCCTATTTTCATGTATTTATTGACCGTCTGAGTGCCTTCATTTGTCAAGTGCTGAGGGACATTGCCAAGTAGGATTGACACATCGAAATTTCCTTGCCAGCGTACCCCATGTTGCTTAGAGGACATTCACTGGGACATTGCATGTATGCTTTAGTAAGGTGACCTTGCTCAAGGACCAGGGCGGATCCAGGATTAGAGCTGATCAGGTTTTAGGGAGTATCCCGTCTTTGGGTTTAAGGTGTTCCCGGTTTAAGACAATATGGGTTTTAGGGAAGTTCGAGGTTGAAGATTATTGCTGCTGGGAATAGGGCATTCCTGCTGCTTGAGTTCCCGTTGAGTTCTCGTGAGATTGAAATGGTATTTGGAAAAAAGCTCTCGGGGAGTACGTGAATTGTGCAGCAGAATAGATTTCCCCTGAACGTGTGTGGAGGCCGGTGTGAGTTCGGGAATAAAGAATTGCTGTTTGAATCTACAAAGCTGTGAGTGGCTCGTGATCATGTGCTATAGATATTAAAGATTGTTTTTTTTCGATTCCAATTCATCCCGAGAATAGTCCACGTTTTGCATTTACTATCTCTGCATTAAATCATGAAGGTCCTGATCAGAGATATGAATGGAAAGTACCCCCTCAAGGAATGGCTAACAGTCCAACTATGTGTAAAATCTATGTTAATAAAGCAATCCAGCCACTTAGAAATCAAAATCCTGAACTAAAAATATTTCACTATATGGATGATGTGTTATTGGCACATAAAGATAAAAACACATTGCTGGAATGTTATGCCACACTTACAAACTTATTAAAAAATAATAATCTAGAGATAGGAATAGATAAAGTACAATTAAATTTTCCAATTAATTATTTAGGAGTTCTA